TGTGTGTGTGTGTGTGTGTGTGTGTGTGTGTGTGTGTGTGTGTGTGTGTGTGTGTGTGTGTATAAGATTTAAAAAAGAATATTCAGACAATGTATCTTCCTAGTTATGTGTTGACCATGGCTCTATCTCACATCTCACTTGCTTCCAAATAAATCCTATTCTGTTTCATTTAATGCTGCAGCTACCACTGTATTTAAAGTAAAATGAACTGAACTGGCATTAGCCCAGGACAAAAATTTAGATACATGTGGTATGGAGAGTTTAATAATTGTACTTATTCTTTGTTTAATCTATTGGACTACTTAAGATATCTAATGGCACAAAATTAGAATAAGTCCTAACTGTCCTCCATTTTTCATTTGTTCATAAGATTTTTAGACTAACCTGCTACTCTTAAGACTTTACACTCAAAGAAGGCATCCAAAGTCAGAACATGCAGGTAGTTTGAAAAGCAAAAGGGCACTGATGCCATTTTTAGACATTTCTCAATGTTAACATAATTACTGTCAGTGGAAGGCTCTTGGATCAGCCAGAGCAGCTTTTGATTACCTCAAAAATCTCATGTCATAAGCAGAGATAATAAAAGAGCCAACTTTTAAATCATTTACTACAGGTCTCAAAGCAAGCAAAGTTAGCAACCCCCCCACACTTTTACAGACAAGCAAACAAACCCCAAACCCAAGCAGAACAGGCAGAGAAGAAAGCTATAAAATCCTCCCCAAGATAATTAAAACTATCATTTGACCAACTTTCGGAACAATCCACATGCGTGTTTGGACTTCACCGCCCAGGCTTCCTGGGTGTCAAGCATGCAAGTGAATATACTTCATCTCCAGCTGAGCCCAAAGGAAGGCCCAGAATATTCACGGGTTTATTAATGAGAACAAGGAGGAAGATGTACGAAGTCACCTACCATTGTCACTGTCTCCTTCAGATGGAACGCTGTAGCTAGAGCTGTCCCATGTTTGTGCCTGCGTAAGTTTGTTGAAGGAGATAGGAGGGAGAATGAGGGCTGGGTCTGCAGGAGAGCGAAAGAGCCAGGCCACGGACAGGTGCACAGGGACCGGGGAAAACCAAAGGGGGCCGCAGCATTTCACATATGGCATAAGGTTCGTATGGAAATGAAGTGGGTTTCGTTTACAATGGGATTTAATTTCAAATGTACAATATAGGAGAATGACAGATGACGCATGGAATAAAAAGAATGATAAAAAACTGAGTGTTAGTAATCATCAGGCAGAGTTACTTTGCATGCAATTCATACTGCTAATCTTAACAGTCCAGAAGATACAGAGTTGGGAGAAAGTACCCATAGGTTATGCAGATTAAAAGGCAAAGGCCTGCCTGATTCTTTTTGCAAACAGGTCCTAAAACACGATCCCTCTTAGCAAACATGATCACATGATACACACAAAAGTTTGGTTACATTAAGACAAAGAGTAATAAGTGTGAACGTATCAACCGTTTAGAAGTAAAAACTATTACAGAGTATTATTTACTCTTAATGGCTTCTCCTCCCCTCCCCCATCACAAAGCAATGCAGAATTTCTTTCCAAAGACATCGCAGTGTTTTGGGATGAGTTAATCAGAGATGAGTCTCCCTAACTCTTCCTTAATCCTTGACTCAAGACTCACAATCTAGTTTCCAACATTGTTCAGTAAAAAACATCAAACATCTATGCACCTATGGTTGACATCTATAATCCTATCCAACAGGCTGAAATCTAAGAATCAAGGTCAAAGCCTGCCTGGCAAACAACTCTGCAAGACTTTTTTATCTTTAATTAGCTAGCAAAAAGCCAGGAAGTAGAGGTGTGACCATGAGCAAAAAAAAACAGAGGAAAGGGCCCTTAGTTCAATCCCTAGTTCTAGCACACACACACACACACACACACACACACACACACACACACACACACACACACACACGAAACTAAAACATCTTATTTTTGCACTAAATATCTCCATAGTAATTTTCATACTCATGTAGGATACTTATATTTAGGAAGTATCTATATTCTATTTAGGAAGTGGCACTGTGGATCAAAGTGGTAGAGTGCTAGCCTTGAGCTGAGCAAAAGGGCTCAGGGACAGTACCCAGGCCCTGAGTTCAAGCCCCATAACAGACAAAAAAAAAAAGAAAAAAGAAAAAAAAAAGAATCATTTTTATTCAACCATAAGACAGGGCAACTAAAGTAAAATTAATCAGCCTCTCCTACAAGCAGGTATTTGGGTATGTGTACTATCATGCTTTGAGAGGAAATCATACAAAAATGTTCCTTGTTAAGTGAACAGTTCATTTATTTAAAGAGACTAAATTATTCTAACTTGCTGAGTTAAACAATCTCTTTTTACTCTTAAAACAAAAGTCATCTACACCCACGCACTTACATTTTAAATAAAAAGTATTCAGGGCTGAAGATGTAGCTCAGTGGTACAGCACTTGCCAAGCATTTGCAAAGCCCTGTATATGATCCCCTCAGTCTGACAAGTAAACAAAGAAAATGAAAATTAACTTGCTAAACCAGGCACTGGTGGCTCACGCCTGTAATCCTAGCTATTGAGGAGGCTGAGATCTGAGGAGCCCAGTTCAAAGACAGCCGGTGCAGAAAATTCTCTGGGAGATTCTTATCTCTCATTAACCACTCAAAAACTGGAAGTGGAGCTATGGTTCAAACAGTGCTAGGCTTGAGCAAAAAAGAGCTCAGGGACAGTGCTCAGGCCCTGAGTTCAAGCCCCACAACGAACAACAGCAACAAAAAGAACAAGAAAAGAAAATTAACTTGCTTTAAGTAACTCCAAAAGTAAAAGTGGTATATATCTTTCTTACCCATATGATCTCCAATAGAGATCACCATAGGTATTATTTCATCTAATGTATGAAAAATACATACTGTCATATTTTAAGATGACTAAATAAAAAAAAATGAAATTCCAATACACAATGCTAGATTTCTAAACCTCCAATATGTCACTTGATATTCCTGAAGATATATCCACATTATTTTTACACCAAGCAAACTCTACGAGGCTTTCGGGAACTAGAACCATTTCTACCTTGGCTCATGGAACACTGTGAGGATGGAAGCAGCCTTCCTTTCCTGCTCTCCCAGGTACACATGCCACAATTTCTCTGTCCTACCAAGAAACCACTTGATCTGCTTTACAAAACAAGTACCTGGTAACCCTTGATTTTGCTAAGCTAAAGTAAGGCTCTAGAAAAGGAGTTAAACAATTTTAAACTTAAACAATTTTACAACGAAGCTGCAAAATAGACGTTCAACACTAACTGGAGACTCATTCAGCTTTTGACATATTACTTATGAACTAGTTTGAAACCGTTGCCTAGGATTACAACACAGTCTTCAGCCTAAGATGAATCCTCAGTGCCCAGAGTCAAGTCTCCTGGACCTCACAGGAGAGGTGAAGTCTGAAGGCCCAGAGCAGATGTACTGCAAGTCACCTCCCCTCCTCCTGGGACACACTTGAGACACTGGGGGCAGAAACAAAACGAGATCTGGTCGATTAGTTTTGTGTACATGAGGGCTGGCCATGTGAGCCTAACTTCATGTACAATTTTAGGCTCTGTAGTGACACACACACTGGGGTGTGGGGATGTAGCACAGTGGTATTAGCATGTGTGTGGGTTTGGGTTCCATCCTCAGCACTGGGAAAAAAAAAAAAAAAAAAAGGCAAAAGCAAGATGGATACCAGTGGCTCAGCCTGTAAATTAGCTATTCAGGAGGCTGAGGCCAGGAGGATCCCAATTTGCAGCCAAGTTGGCCAGTAAAATACTGAAACTGGAGGCATAGCTCACATGGTTGAAGGCCAGACATTAGTAAGAAAGCTAACTGAGAGCTCAAGGCCTTTGAGTTCAAACCCTGGGACTGATGCAAAAGGAAAAAGGAGAAAAAAGTAAGACATACATAAAACCCACAAAAAAAATTTTCTTTTCAAATGGCTTTTTTATTACAAACTGCCAGGAAACATTTCACAAAACCATTTCCTTTATTAATGAGTCATCTCTGCTTTCTCCATGGGTACATTTTTTTCAAACTCGACATTACAGATGTCAAAATGTGTTTATGGAAAATCTACAAACATTGGAGTTTACTGCCAACTTCATTAAGACTTCCTAAACATTTGCATTAGCAATGAATATCAAAGTAGTTTTTCTTCTTTTCAAAAAAAAAAAAAAAGGTCCAAGGGGCTGGGAAGGTGGCTCAGTGGTAGAGTGATTGCCTTACATGCATGAGGCCCTGGGTTCGATTCCTCAGCACCACATAAGCAAAAAGAAAAAAGCCGGAAGTGGCGCTGTGGCTCAAGTTGTAGAATGCTAGCTTTGAGCTGAAGAGCTGAGGGACAGCCCTCAGGCCCAGAGTTCAGGCGCCACGACTGGACCAAAAAAAAGGTCCTAGAAGAAAGCACTGAAAGTCTAAATCACTGGACAATTTAGAAGAAACAGTTTTCTATTCAGAGTCCTTTTTAAAATCAAGTTATTTTGATTGCATAATTTAGTCCTTTTTTGAATAGGTCAAAAAGCTGAATGCTTCTCCAAAAGTTGTTGTTGTTGTTGTTTTGTAATAAATACTGCCTACTTTTGTTACACAAGGAAATACACAGGTCCTGCCATGTTCACTAGCTATTAGAGATCTCTCTCTTTGGGAATCCCTTTCCCAGGCTGCTCTTTAACTCAGCAGAGAACCAGAAACCAAGGGAACAAAGGGCACTTAGCCTATCTTCTTTGGATAAAGAGTTCAATATTTCTTCCCCACTTACATGCTCCAACCACTGCTCTACCTTCCTTTGATCCAAAAGAAGGAAAGCTATTTATTCCTAATTGCATGACTGCACAGCTAGTTCACTCCAATCTCTGACCTCCCCAAGCTGTGGTAGAGATCTGGTTCCAGGATCCCAACTCAGCAGGATCAACAATGATTGCATTCACCACAAACAAACTGAAAAGCCTAAAGAGTAGTTAGAAGGATGATCTGCAGTACCTGAGCGGGGCTTCAGGCCAAATGGAGGTGTGCTGTTTGTGGTAGGAGAGACCGCAGGGGAGTTCTCTCTCATCTGTCAGATCAGAAGGAGAGAAAGTTAGGAATAAAACTGAAAAACCGTGTAAGGCTCGGTAGGGTCAGGGATTAGTATAAACCCACTCTTTGTACTTGATGCTAAAAAACAAATCGCTTTGGCATAATCAATGGAATGCTACTGTAGGCCAATAAATTCAATTTTTGAGTTGCACATTAGGAATATATTTTACAGTGGCATGACACTACAGTCTGTTTCTCCTCCATCATACCTGTGGACCTGCGTGGGTGTGCACCTATGTTCCCAAAGAGGAGCCTCACTGAGGACTCTCATAACACATATGAGAGGAGGACACGGGTAATATGTAGAAGTCTCTGGAGCTACAGGCCAAACATTGAAGGACGAGAACTTTCTAAATGATGCCTATTTGGGAGATTTTCATTTTATTTTCCTTAATGATGTTCCTACCTTTGGTTTTGTGATGTTCCTACACTTGGGTTTTGTCAAAATATTTGGTATAAAAATTAATTCGTTAGGAATAGGGCCAGATAACACTCTGATAGCTAATGAGAGGGAACAACTAGTAAAAGTCCTCAAGAGACCCTTCATTAACTCATTAATCAGTGTTAATAATACACTTTTGTACAAGGTATTCATACCTGTGTCATCAATCAAGATGCACTGTACTTATAACCTGATCTGTTGACTTGTAACTCCTTTGAACAACTTGTTATAAAAATAATAAAAATAACAATTTAAAGATATTCCAGGGGGCTGGGAAGGTGGCTCAGTGGTAGAGCACTTGCCTTGCATGCCTGAGGCCCTGGGTTCAATTCCTCAGCACCACATAAGCAAAAAGAAAAAAGCTGGAAGTGGCGCTGTGGCTCAAGTGGTAGAGCACTAGCCTTGAGCTGAAGAGCTGAGGGACAGCACCCAGGCCCAGAGTTCAGGCCCCATGACCTGACCGAAAGAAAGAAAGAAAGAAAGAAAGAAAGAAAGAAAGAAAGAAAGAAAGAAAGAAAGAAAGAAAGAAAGAAAGAAAGAAAGAAAGAAAGAAAGAAAGAAAGAAAGAAATTCCAATATAGTCTTCACAGAATACCAGTTTTCCTTAAAAACTTACCTCATTTGGTGAATACTGGCTCCCATTACTCTGTAATGTTAGATCATGTGACTCCTTAAGGAAGAGAAAATGGAGGGCATGTTCCATTAGCATATGAAAATGATGAGGCAGGAACTGTGTCTTCTCTAACATCCATCCCACCCCATAAATACACACTGAATTCATTTATATGTTACTTTAAGTAGCTAAGTATGTTACACTCACATTTTCTATGACTGTACCAGTTGTGTAACAACAACAACAACTATCTAAAGCATCATACAAACTAATATAAGGATTTGTCAGGATAAAGAATTCACTCCCAAGTATCCGTGAACATGAGCCTAGATAGGTAGGGTACCAAACTGCCTGTCAGCTTGTCTTCATATTTAATTATGGGTGTTTAGAAATGGTCCAAAATAGTCACTCCAAATTCACAAATCACATGACGGGGGAGGGGGGGAGGGGGGAGAGGGAGGGAGCTTTTGCTCCATATTTGCCCCATAACCTGGGCAAATATCACGTGATCAGATCAACATCAGGTTGCTTTGGCCAAGAGTGATTAAGAAATAATTCTAATAAACTATGCAGTCCTTGTAATTGGCCAGGTCTTCCAGCAGAGATGAGCAGGTGGGAAGTAGCATTCAGGAGTGGCTCAAGAGGAAGCAGACAGCTTCAACATCACCATGCATAGAATGACAAATTCATGGGGCATGGCGATGAAATTTCAATACTGAGGAAAAACAGGAGCGATCGGGGAAGGGGGGGGGGGGGGGATGAGCTAAAGATTTTGAAGTGACTATTAATTATGGGGCTCCTGAGTCTATGAAGGTGGCCAGATGGTCCATGCAGGCCAAAGCAAAGGTGAGAAGCAGTAGCTGAGGGCAGGGCTCTAGAAAAGCAGCATGAAAGATACAAGGCATACTCCAGCTTATTTTCCCAAACCTGCCTTCTTTATGAAGTGATCAAAAACCTCAGGGACTCACCCTAATACTTTAGGGACTATGAGGATAAATCTCTTCATACATACCATGAAGTGAGTATAAATTTAGGATGCTCATCCTAGTCATTGCTGACGGTACAATTTAAAACTATTCCCAACTTCAATACAACAAGGGAAAAAAAAACCCTAGTCTTAAGAGTAAGAAGTTATCATGCTTCTTTTCCGTTAAAGGGCCTGTGACAAATGCTCACAAGTAGCACCAGGCTCTTTCCTCTGGTTGTTCCTATTGCCCCTCAGTACCCTCCCTCATTTGCTAGGACTTCTTTGAATGAGCAGGAAATTTGCATTTCTCCCTGAATTGCATTTCTCCATGTTATCCACACTTGTTGTGGATTGTCTTTGAATGTATATTGAGGGCACATAATAGGATGGGGTGCTGATTGTGATCTACACCCTAATGTTGGCTCAGGCTTGCGCTCAGTCCCCACAGTGTCAGGATTGCAAGCAAACCCCATTACGGTGCCTGACACCATCTCCCTGACCGAAACGTTTACATTTACTCCTCGCCTTAAGTTCTCTATCCTTCTCCAACTCTAACAGCGCATAAAACAGACTTACAACGGCAGACAGGCGAACGTTTCTCTCTCCATTTGTTTTTACAATTTACATCTTCCTTCTACAATTTGTAAGACCTCATAAAACCAAGAATCATCCGATATCCTTTCACATTCCCATCCTCCACACCAACACCAAGCCGATCCTCACCCAGGTACTCAACCAACAGTCGGTGAATCCACACAAGACTACACGGAAGGATGCCACTCTCTTCCTGATTGGTGCAGAGGGAATATTAAGTCACCAAATCGCAGTGCGGTCACGCTGAGGCCACAGTGAAGCTCTACATATGCATAACCGCTGGCCTCAAGAAGCCACACACTTTCTTTTCTGGTCCTTCTTTTCCTTACACAGAGAGCTATCACCCCTTCCTTTTCCAAATCAGAGACATGCCTGTCAAAGACTGAACTATGGGGAAATAACAGCGTTGCTCACACCAAATACCACACTTCATTCACTCCCCAAAGATAAAGAACTTTGTATCATATTAAACTAACCCAGAACACTGTGAAGTGAATACATTTTCCCCAGGGCTCCTGTGATCCTAGACACCGGTCCATTCCATCCCTTACTTTCTTGTTTTATTTTACTTTGGTTGTGAATTAACAGGAGAATGGTACTTCCCATTCCTTCATATGTGTTTGCCATCTCTCTCCCTTCCACAAACCCTCACTAAGACCTTACTGTGAAGCAGGTACTGTGCTAGGTCCCAACTTGGAGTGAAAAGGGTAAAAAGTGCTTGCAGATGTGACAGAAAGACGAGCAGCAGAAAACATAAATATATAAAATAAATACACAGAATCAATATGTAGAATAGAAATTCTCTTAAAAAGACTTGATTTGGACAGGTATTGTGGCTCATGCCTGTAATCTCAGCCATTGGGGGGGGGGGGTTCAAGTCTAGCCCATGCAAAAAGACAGGGAGACCTCTATGTCAACTAAATAAGGCTCTATGTGACAGTTCTCATTTACCATTCCAGCTATGCAGGAGGTATAAACAGGAGGGGCACTGTCCATTTTGGCCAGGCATAAAGACAAAATCCTCTTTGAAAAATAATGACAGCAAAAACTGTAAGAGGTGTGGTTCAAGTGGTAGAGCACCTACCAAGAAAATGGGAGGCATTGAGTTCACATCCCATTACCCTAGATTACATAATAGTTTTGTGGAGAAAACAGTCTGGAACAGTGGAGAAATGTAACTACACTTCTGTTAGATAATCAAATTAAAATCAACAATGAGAGCCAAATTGTCATGATGTGTCCCCCAAGGTGACACCCTGGAAAAGACACACAAGATCACCTGGGCAGTGTCCCAAAAGACAGATGTAGAACCTCAACCTTATCATAAGGAGTTATTTGATAAATACCAAAGAAGAACACTCCATTCATAAAGGGGACACTTAGGATCTTCAAATTTTCAGAGTCATAAAAAAATGGGCATGTTCTAGAGTAAAGGAGGTTATGCAGAGCTGATAACTGAATTCAGTACCTGTAAATGTATGAAGTTAACAACTGAAATATACACTGGCATACATGCATATAATATGGAATATCCTGGGAATATGACTCAGACTACATACAAAATTCACTTATGTTTCATACACACTTTAGACACAAGTAATCTATACAATACATTATGTACACTGCATTTTAACTATCCCTCATTACAAGTCAGGTGTAGAATTTTTCACTTGTGGCATCATCTTGGTGCTCAAAAGTTCAAACATTTTGGATCCAAAGATTTTCAGATTAGGGATATTCAACCCCTAACTGGTAAATCTGATTTTGTACAAGACTGTGCTTTTTTTGGCAGAGGCTTCCAATTCATTTTTTGCAGTCTTCTGGAAGGTTAGCAATTATTTCCAAATAAGAAGCTAAGAAAAAAAGCAAGACTGCAGAGAACTAAAATTAATCTCAGATGGAGAGCTGGAGGACAATAAGTCCAGGGCTGCCTGTAAATAAAAGGTTTCCTGATGTTTCCTACTGGTCCATTCAACGAGGTCTCTACCCAGGGCAGAGACAGCCCTGTGATTCTGTCTACAGACCACACCAATAACAATAATAGGGCAGGAGGTAACAGCCAGCATTTAGGTGTCCTGTGCGGATGGACTTTCCTTGAATCACCTCATTCAGCTTTGTAACAGCTGTTATTAGTATCTCAATTTACAAAAAAGGAAGGTGCCTCTTACAGAAGTTAATTACCTTGCCAAAGTTAGCAAGCCCTGGCACGTCACAATGCTATCACCCCCTCTACAAGCATGGCTTTTCCATTCACAGTCTTTGTGTCTTCATTTCTCCAACAGAGACCTAGTTAACATTGTAAAGCTGCTTTAGGACTTCACATGTGCCAACACTTTGGAGGGCAGGAACTGGTTTGTATATAATTTCAGTACTTACATTTACATCCTAAACCCATTATCTAAGAAAAGATTAAATTTATTATCATAGGTTGTACCTTTAAAATTACCACTCAAACCTATCTCTCTATACCTGTAGTGATGTTTCTTTGGAACCTCTGTTAGGTTCATTTTTAATTCTATATCAAAATCGCTTTGTCTAAAGCTAGCCAAATGAATTAGCCAAATCTCATTTCACAAACTCTATCTAACCTACCTTATCTATTCCCAAACACCTCCATCAGATTCTCTCTATAATATTCTGTTAATCCGCATATATATCTCCAATTCATTCGTTCCTGTCTTTGGGATCTTCCCTGGTTTATTTTTATCTGGTGAAACTTCTTTCGTGGCTCTACAGTCTGAACTTAATCCAGGTTCTGACACAGAGCAGGTCCTTGTATCACTGTCTCACTCAGCCACACTTTTTTTTTTTTTGTCAGTGGTGGACCTTGTAACTCTGGACCTGGACGCTGTCCCTCAGCTCTTCAGCTCAAGGCTAGCACTGCCACTTGAGCCACAGTGCCACTTCCTTGTCTGGTGGTTAATTGGAGATAAGAGTCTCATGGACATTCCTGCCCAGGCTGGCTTTGAACTGCGATCCTCAGATCTCAGCCTCCTGAATAGCTAGGATTACAGGTGTGAGCCACCAGCGCCCAGTTCAGCCACACTATCTTGATGTAAAAAAAAATTTAAATGGTGAAATAGAAATAGCTAACTCTCATGTGTCATAGAAGATGAAGCATGGCAGCTAAGCAAAACCAAAGAGAGAGAAAGTATGGTCAGATGAAAACTGTGTCTTCAACACATGTGAGTATTGTGCCCCCACGCCATGCTCCCCTCATCTTACCCCTCCCACTTATCACAGCAGAGGGCAGGGGAATGCTGCACCTCACCTCACACACCGGAGATGTCTCCAGCTGCCTTGGACCACTGTAGAAATAATGAAAGAGAGAAAGAAAACATCAAATGGAATTCACAGCATTAAGACTTCAATGTCAAATGAGGAACAATGTTTAGTGATAGAAAGGTGCACGCACTTCAGTGTAGACTCTGGCAGCTCTAAGGTTTCTGGGGATCCCACAGGGAACAGACTCAAAACACTTCTCTCTGCGATGTCTGTGCTTAGTCTGAAAAGGGGGAAAAGAAGACAGAAATTTACTAACCTTCCCTTTTTATAAATTTCACATCATATTTAGCTTAGAAGTTTAGTACATTGAAAAGCGATGTTTATCTTTGGGATAAAGGTGATGACAAGTCTGTGACAGGAGTTTCCTACCACGAGCCAAATTACAATTTTTTCATCTGCTGCTGGTACTTACATCCAAATTATTTACAATATAATAATTTCTGATAAAATCATATCATTCATATCTAAACATATATTCAATCTTAACTCTAGAACTTATTATCCCATGTAACACTGATATACCCTAAGCCCTATCCCTAAGTACCCACATCAATTTCCCTATATAATACATTTTTAGTTTTTCTAGCTATCCTGAATAACTTTTATCATATAAAATAGCTAAAAGGCCTCTATACAGCATATACACCAATAACACTGACTTTAAGAGGTCTTTCTAATGGACAGTGGTATTTTCATTATAAATTAAGAATCCTAACCTAGGAATAGCAGGGTATATGCTTAACATGCACAAGGCCCTGGGTTTAATCTCCAGTATCAGAAAAAGGGGGGAAAAGAATTTTTGAGCAATTTTGTATATATCTTTCTGAAACAGTACAGTTTCTTCAGTTTTAAAAGATGTTTTTCCAAAGAAAATTCTCTAAGAAATGTAAAAGTTATAGAGCCATCTTAAAGTATATAGATTTTCATAGGTCTATAAATTACAATTGTGTGAACTATAAACAACCTAACAGAGATAAAACAAGACAGCAATATTCGAGAGCAAGATGTAAGTTCCATCATAAACACCAAGTTTCTGATGTGGCTGTTGTATAAAAGCTAAACCTTTAAGCTGGACACCAGTGGCTCACACCTGTAAGCCAGGGGACTATTCAGGAGACTGAGATATGAGTTTTGAGGTTCAAAGCCAACCCAGGCAGGAAAGTATGTGAGACTCTTATCTCTCATTAACCACCAAAAGAGCTGAAGTGGAGTTGTGGCTCAATTGTTAGGGCACTAGTCTTGAGCAAAACAGCTCAGGGACAGCACCTAGGCCCTGAGTTCAAGACCCAGGACCAGCACAAAAAATAAAGAATAAAAAAGAAAATGTAGTGAATTTTATTAAGAAGGAAATGACATCTACATATTTGGGCATGTGTGCCATATCTATCCATCATCCCAACCCATGTAACTCAGTGCTCAGACACCTGAGAGCTGAGGAAGTGTCTCAGGTACAACAGGGAGGAAACTGGGGCCCTAAACAGAGGACACATAAATAATTGTTCAAGGATTATAATAATTACCTGCTCAATCTTGCAGCTCTTATAACCATAGGCATTATAAGTGCTTGGAAGGCAAGATCTATGTATGGTTCTTTTTCGTATTTCTCAAAGCACGCACTGAAAATCTTTCCATGTTCTGAGGACTCAATTGGGTTTTGATCTATATAGCTGAAGTAGTTTTCAACCAATTGCTAAAGATTTCCAGCCACAGTTAACCTGACCTGCCCCTGTTCTTTCAGGGTCAGATGGCATTACTGGAATGTTCACTGGTGACCTAGGATCACTAGCATTTTTCTCAGAACTAGGTGAACAGTCTCCTATGAGACCTCATCGTCATTACATTGAATTCCCTAAGAATCTTGAATAATTTACCAGGGATAAGTTTTTGGGTTACAGGTAGTCATGTAATTACTGTCTGATACCTGAGACCACCTGAATATTTTTGTTCATGGGAATTCCATTATACTTAGTTAGGAAATAAAAAATTATACCCACTGCCTACAGTATATATTATTGATGATGGTCAATTCAAATATAAAAAAGTAGATTACTGACAACAGTCAATTCAACTATAAAAAAGTAGATTACTGACAACAGTCAATTCAAATATAAAAAAGTAATCTACAACCCAGTTTTAGACATATATTCTCTAATAATCATATACTCCACACTGCCAGAAATAAACACAATAGCATTTACTTATTTAATTTCCATTTTAGAAAAGTTTTCCTTGTACTTCTACAATGCAGTGGCTTAAACTTCATGTGCTTTATTACTGTCTGTCTCCTAAAAGTTGTACCAGAACTCTGATACGAATTTCATGAGAGGAAAATAAATTTCACTGAGAGCTAGAAAAGTGGGGAACTGGCCTCAATCGCTACAGAAATTCGACTGTCACTTTTAGACACTGAAAACAGAAGAGTAACGTGATGTGACTGTCAGGGGTTAGAGTGACACCAAATTGTATGTATAAATTCTTTTTTTTTTTTTAGAAATTGAGATGTCATACTCGGTAAATTAGCAGTTATCATGAACACATGAAACACACGCCGAGGAAAGCCATGCATACCCGTTGGGATCTTGCAGCAAATCCACCGCTTCCCTCAGCTGCTCAATCATCATGATATCCACGTCCTGCTCTTTGGATGAACTTATTCTGAAACATGAAACCAAGTATGAGCATGGAAACATTCGCTAAAACCTGAGGATCACCTCAGCTCTTAAGAGTAAACATAAAAAAAAAAAAATCAAACTTATAAAAATGATCTTGGCAAAGTCAACATTCTAATGAAGATGCATGAGGACAATGTGGGGTATGTGCGGGAATGCGGGTGAGGGAAGTCCAGTGTGGAAGAGTCCTGGGTGAGGGAAGCCAGGGGTGGAGGCCCTCAAGCGCTCTCATTTACAGTCAGGGAATCAATGCAGTGGGGGTACTTCCCTGAGTTCTTTTTGGCAGGGGCGTGGGTAATGGTGCACAAGAGGCTCTGGTGAGTGCATCTGTGTTATTTCAGGTCTTCAACTCCAGTTCATTTGAGCTTGGCTCAGTTTTATTATATTCATACAGCAGGTGTTGGAGACTGGTTGTCAGCCTAGGTTCTACAGGCAACAAAATCAACTGTGTAGCTAAAGAAACTCCCAAGGAGGACTGATCTTAGGTAGGGTTGGGCAGTGCATAAAACTCTACACATAATCCTGACTTACAGGGTAGAAAACAACAGACATGAGACAGAGAATAGAGTTCTCAAACATGTAGATAATTTTAGAATAACTCTTTTTCCTGTGATTCCATGATTCTATCATCAAGCTAGACCTCCATAGCTTCTCAAGTGCTGGTAGCTTACACCTGCAATCCTAGCTACTCAGGAGGCTGAGATCTCTGAAGATCATGGTCCAAAGCCAACCAGAGCAGAGAAGTCTGTAAGACTCTCATCTTCAATTAGCCATCACAAAGCCAAAAGTAGAGCTATGGCCAAAAGGTGAAATCCCAACCTTGAGCAAAAATAGTGCATAGGTACTGAGTTCAAGCCAACCCCTTCTAATAAACGGAAACCTATCCAATGAGCAGCTAGTAATATAGATGGTGACTGGAGAGAAACTTTCCAGTATTCTTTTTGCAGGAGAGATTTGAACATGGTTAATTGCTTTTACTCCAGAACAAATTAAATAGGGGGAAATGTTAACCATGTGATCAATCCTCACTAAGAGGAAAAATCCACACAAGTCATGATGGAAGGTTTAGATCAACTTCGCAGATCATGGGAAAGCAAAATTTTGAAAACCAAACACCTACTCTGTGTCACAAGTTCCAAACTCAATTACCATGGAAAGAGTTCACAATATAAGATGAGCATTTATATCCTCTGTGTAGATCCTGCCAAATAAATCTTCATAGCAACATGGTAGAAAGAATAGTCATCTGGTACAAGATTCCTTAAGGGTGGAATGCTGGCCTCTCTCTTCCTCTCTCTCTGTCTCTGTCCCTCTCTCTGTCTCTCTGTCTCTGTCTCTCTCTCTCTCTGTGACTTTGGTGGAAAGATTATCCATCTCTCTATGCCTCAGTTTCATCATCTGTGAAAGGAGGGACAACATACAGGACTTTTTTAAAGATCGAATGAGTATTGACCTGTGAAGTACTTAGGACACTGCCTCGCATGTAGTATTTACAAAGCTCTAATTGTGATAGTTATTAAGACTTTGGACCAGGATATTAAAGATGTATGTTTTCCTAAGAACTTGAACCAGAAGTCTGGGTGCAGAGACAAACCAGCACTAAAGATCACACTTTAGGGCTAGTTATTGGCTTTTTCAAGAAAATGGAAGGAAGTATCATCAGCAATCTAGGTACTTTAGTTAATTCTCTGAATTATATTTCTACCTATGGCTTCAACAACAAAGAGGTACAAGATTCCATCATTCTGTGGCTTAAATATGTCCTTTTAAAGCTCATGTCACAGAAATTAAATCCTTAATATGATGATGTTGAAGGAAGGAAACTTGGTGATGTAATTGGACTAATGGCACTATCACACAAGATCTGAGTCCCTTACCTAGGGTTGCTCAGCTCTCTCTGTCTCTGTCTCTCTCTTTAATGCTGGTTTTGAACCTTGTACTGAGGGGGTCCTGGGTGCTGTCCCTTCTTTTGCTCAAGGTTAGTGCTCTACACTTGAGCCACAGTTCTGTTTACATATTTTTAGTAGTTTATTGGAGATAAAGAGTCTCTTGGACTTTCCTGCCCAGGCTAGACTTGAATTGTGATCCTCAGATCTCAACCTATGAATAGTTAGATTTATAAGTGTCAGCCACTGGTGCCCATCTCAGCTCCCTTTTTCTATCTCTCACACACTCTTCTTGCCTTGTGAAGACTTCTGTTAGCTCTACCAAGGAGGCCCTAAAGGATGGGCAAATACAGCAGTAGTACTCACTAGACATTATGTTGAAAATGAACTATATAAACTGTGAGTGGGGACAGGAAGGAAAAAACTGGGAGAATGCAAGGAAAGGGGTGACATTATCCAAAAAGAAATGTACTCATTACCTGATTTATGAAACTGTAACCCCTCTGTACATCACCTTTATCATAACAATTTTTAAAAATGCAAAAATAAAGAAGGCCGCCTAGTCTCTAGAACTGCAAGTCAAATAAACGTCGACTGTTTAAATTACCCATCCTGTGGTATTCCACTACAGCAGTGTGATACAGTCTAAGGCACACTGCCTGGCCCAATACTGCAATAAGCATCAGATAGAGAAAAAAAATTTTTTTTTGTTTTTGGGTCCGGTCGTGGGGCCTGAACTCTGGGCCTGGGCGCTGTCCCTCAGCTCTTCAGCTCAAGGCTAGTGCTCTACCACTTGAGCCACAGCGCCACTTCCGGCTTTTTTCTTTTTGCTCATGTGGTGCTGAGGAATCGACCCAGGGCTTCATGCATACAAGGCAAGCGCTCTACCACTGAGCCACCTTCTCAGCCCCAGATAGAGAAAATTTATCAGTAACACTTGGTAAGAATATCAGCTTGCTCAAAATAAAATGAGTCAAAATTCTATCAGGACAAGGCTGCCAATATACTTGAAAAGAGAATGCTCCAGAAATGACAGCCCATACCCAGGCTCCCGGCACTCACATTCCCTCCGTCTGCCAGTGTGCATCCTCTTCTATCCGCAACAGCTCTTCACATACTTCTGTCCTGTCCTGGGGACAGAATGAACAGGGTTCCTAAGAGTCACTGAATTTCCAATAAAAAGTTAAAAACCTGCCCCCCCGGACTACCTCCACAGAAATATAACTCACAAGAGCCAAAAGGCAAGCGAAGCATCCATTGACGGATGAGTGCATATACAAAATGTGGTATGCATATCTAATGGGATATTATTCTCACATCGACTATACATATGGATGAACATGCAGAGATTATGCTGAGATAAGCCAGTCACCAAGTATGCAACATATGACTTCACACATGTGAGAGACCCAGAGTAGTCCAATTCACTGAGACAAAAAGAAAAGCAGTGGCTGCCAGGAAGGCAGGAGGACAGAGTGGGGACTGGTGTGCTCAGTAGGTACAGAGTCTCAGCTTTGCAAATTAAGAGGAGGCCTAGGGGTCAGTTGCATAACAGCAGCTAATACATATTTTACTGTGCACTTTAAAAATGGTTAAGACGCCTGCTGGGTGTGGTGGCTCAAGCCTATGATCCTAGCTACTCATAAAGCCGAGATCTGAGAATCACTAATTGAAGCTAGCCAGGGAAGACAAGTCTAAGAGACTCTTATGTTCAAAAAGCCAGATCTGGAGGTGTGGCTCAAGTGGTAGACTGCCAGTCATGACTCAAAAAGCTAAATAAGAGCACAAGGCCCAGAATTCATGCCTAAGCATTGGTACACATACACACACCACAAGGCTCAAACAAGGCAGGCATGGTGGGGGCACACCTGTAATCTCAGCACTGGGGAAGGCAAGACAGTTATGAGTTCAAGACCAGCCAGGACTGTACATTGAAATCTTGGCTCATATTTTGAAAGGGTGATATATTAAATTTCATGTTATACACATTTTACTATAATGGAAACTTAGGAAATTAAAAACAAAAACAATAATATCCTAGCCAGAGACCACAGCATCTGTGAGCCAGCAGCAGAAGTCTAAAGCTTAACTGGGTTCCTCATTGGTACTTAACAGAAAAATACCCCAGTGGTTTTCACAGGCACAAGATTAGACTTCATTCAAATATTTTCCTTGCCTCTCCCCAACTTTCTCCAAAGAGACCTTGTAGTGGGGATCAATACCAAGATGGAAGTATCACTGTGGGCCTTCCACATTCTTTCTTCTGACCCAAAGGAAAAATGTTTTTCTGTACTAGTTAGACTTGTAGTATTCAATAAAGTCAATGTACACATTGTTATTGCTTGTGACTGGACAGGACTAAGATAACACGTCCTTGATCTTTGCATTGATTTCAACTATAGGAGACCTAGGTATTTCTTCCCAGTTCGTGCCTTTAAAGTGAAAAGTGGGGGGTGGGAGGAGGAGGTGGGGAGGTGAGGAGGGAAGGGATGGTAGGGGAAAACAAAGGAGGGGGTAACAGTGCTCAATAGGAAATGTACTCATTACCTTACTCATACCTTACTCGTGTAACTATAACCCCTCTGTACAATATCTTTACAATAAAAAATACATAAAATCCAGAAACAAAAAAAAATGGAAAGTAGCCATTATATAAACCATCTCATTTTTTTCCAAGTATATGAAACAGATTGTACTGATTTGTCCTTTCTCTCTACAGGATGAGTACCCTTGATATGAAGCGACAATGTGACTATCGGCAGTTCCAAATGCTCCCTAGTCTCAAAGTTACTGTGCCACAAAAACTTTGAGTTTCAGAAATTGCAACATTTTGAATTTTAGACTTTTAGATTAGGTGTACTCATCTTGTAAAGTCTATATGAATCAGACTAGTTTCACAATCGGAAACATCTCAGGTCCTAAGCATTTTGGAAAAGGGATAGATACTCCATCTATACCCTCAGGCTACATGCTTCCCTAGAACACACGGAACAGAATGTGGAATTATCTCAGCTTTTCCTGACTGGAAAGTGTGCTAACTTACACAGCACAGTGAATAAGAGGAAGCTCAGCAATCTCAATTTAAAAAAAAAAAAAGATCTATAATAGGCAAAACCAGGAATATGCCTGGGTGACCAGTTCCTCAAATCAGAAAACAGGTTCTTCTTTGAGAGGAAGTAATGAAGGCCACCAAAAGTTGGACTTTGAAAGCAGCAAACATGGGAACCTTGAACTAAATTCTAAGGTACCATACAAAAGAACATGACTACAAAGAATATTAATGGATCTTCAAAACCTTGCCTTAACATAGTTCATAAATCCCGAACGCAGAACATCTGCTCCATCCCCGAATGGATCTCTTTCTTGTCCTGAGTTGTTGCTGTCACCCAAATGGGAAGACTCTGGCTGAAATTCCTGATGAAACTCCCCTGTGAGAAAGGACAGAGAAAGGGTAAAAGGATGACTGCATGACCAGAAGCACAAGAACACTGGCGACCTTCCAATATGCTAATTGCTTCCATCTTCTCCTTTACCTATTATAGAATGACCTGGATAACTGACACTTTCTCCTCCCCACAGAATGGGGAGGGGGGGGGGGAGGGAAGATTTAAAACAGGAGGAGGAAGAAGAAGAGTAAAAGCAATTGAGCTTAAAAAGTTAAGGCATGGGCTGGGAATGTTGCTTAGCATGCATGAAGCCCTGGGTTGGCTACCTCATTACCATATAAACAGAAAAGGCCAGAAGTGGCACTGTGGCTCAAGTGTTAGAGTGCTAGCAAAAGAAGCTCAAGGACAGCACCCAGGCCCTGAATTCAAGCCCCAGGACTGGTAACAAGAAAACAAAAAAAAGTTAAGGCTTCTTCAGGGCTTAATTCCTCATGGGAGAAATAAAATTTCCTCTTATTTTTTTTTAAAGAATAGAGCAAAAAACATTTGAAGGTTTTTGTGCCTTCAGAAATATGTGACTAATTATTTCAAATTCCCCACTCAACAAATATTTATTGGGCAGCTGCTACCTGGCAAGTATTATGCTATCCATTTTAAGGATTTAAAAATTCAGTCAAGTATGACTCTGTCCTCAAGTAGCAAATAATATGAAGGAAGTACAAGGCAGAGTCAATAAGAGCCCCAAATCCTAACAATAATAGAAAGGCCACACAGAAACAAAATCATGCTCAAGTATAGCACACCCAACTGGATCTTGCTCCAGGCCGTAGAGGAAAAGGCCAAAGGAACACTGTGGGAACTACTGTGACCATCTGCAGGCCAAAGTGAACCATAGGGCCATCTTTACACACTCAAGCTAGCAGGATATCCACTTTGAGATGAGGAAGGAAAGTTTACTAGTAACAGAGGATGTAATTCTTTCTTCTAAAATTTCTGTCTAAAACAGGACCCCTACTACTATATAATGTCACAGGTTGTACAAACAAATACACGAGGTACTTCTATCTGTCCATAAGTATGTATTTCTAGTTTGTTTTTGGATAACATATGGTTCCCACCATAGTCTCATTGAATTTAATGCTAAATATAACAACCTGAGTCTAAGAAGTAAAAACAAACTCGGTAATCTGCAGTTATTTTAAACACTGCTCTCATCATTCAAAACATCATATTGAAACTAGCAGGGAGGTAATCTGTATATTAATCCAGTGCAATAGTATCTACCAGTGAAATAGTATCTACCACAAATCAGTAAGCACCACATTTAAAACCCCTTGTGTAATCAGAGCTAGAGGCGTGGCTCAGAGGTAGAGCGCCTACCTACAAGTGGAGGCACATGAATACAAACAAACTCTAGCACCACTGAATGGAAAGGAAAAAGAGTAAGAGAGGGAGGGAAGGAAAAAGAGAAAAGGAAGGGGGTAGGGAAGCCTGCAGGCAGGGAGGAAGGGAAGAAGGAAGAAAGGGAGAAAGGGAGGTAGACAGAGAGGGAAGGGACTGGAGGTAGACAGGAGGTATACAGGAGGGAAGGAAGGTCAATGAAGTTTTGGGGAAAACAGCACCCATCAAGATACTGCCACGATGTGACTTAACAGTATGATATAGACCATAGACAACAAGGATTCAGAAGGTATAAAGGAATCTGGCGATCACCTAATCCAACCATCTCACTTAGATTGCTGAGCACAAGTAAGAAATGACTTTGTCACCCTCATACATCTCTAGACATGACCATGGAAATATGTTAATCTTATAAGTGATGGATACTTTTAGGCCCATCTCACAAAGGCCCACTTATAAGCAGCCTCCATTTTCTTCCTCTTCTGACTTAATATCATGGACATGGAAACGTTGGAATTCCTGAGTTAAAGGTGGCTGCCACCACATGGTAAGTAGAGCTTGGGTCCTTGAGTCAGTGCTTTAGACTAACTGTCACAAACTCCCACTTCACTTATTTATATTAAGTCACGGAGATTCGAGAAAGGTATGTGTGACATCAACTATAATCATTCTAGTACTATATCCACCATCTCAATATTTCCTTTCAAAGAATGGATTTCAAGAATCTTCTATAAATCTTCAGCATGTGAATAGTTCTACTACTGCTATGATAAGTAGCACTGGCTTGTGGGACCACTGACAGATTACTTCAACTCTCTAAGTCCTGTTTTTCCTCCTATAATAGAGATGGATAGAATATCATTTGGAGTTATGAATTTGAAAGGGGATCACCTTCCCAGATGACTCGGCCCTGGTTCAGGTCAGATGTGCAATCAACAGATACTATTATTGCCGCCATGTTTCAACGTCCTCTGAAACCTAGCCCTGACACTGAAAAGCAAGCCCTCTACATTTTCCACTCAGACCTTTAGCTGGGGTAAGATGATGACATGTATCCTCCTTAACCATCTGCTCTTCTTCCAGGATGTTCGACATTGGCACATTGAGGCTAATGGTGTCTTCATCAGAGGGCTAAAACATACAGGAGACACAGGAGAAGTTTTACCAACGGAGACAAAAAGACACTGTGTAATGAAACAGTATTTTGTGATTTTCACAAACATCATTCTGAGTAAGACACACCAAACACAAAAAATAATTCTACTTATAACATTCAAAACCAGAAAAAAAACTGATCCCAGAGGTTTGAAGTGAGGATAACCTCTCTACTTGGGAGATGGCACATGGCTGAGGCTTTCAGGCATCCTGGTAAAGCCGTACCCTGAATTGTTAAGTTGGTAATATGAGTGTGCATTCACACAGCTGGGGCTGAGAAGGTGGCTCAGTGGTGGAGTGCTTGCCTCGCATGCATGAGGCCATGGGTTCGATTCCTCAGCACCACATAAGCAGAAAAAGTCTGAAGTGGTGCTATGGCTCAAGTGGTAGAGTGCTAGTCTGCAGCTGAAGAGCTGAGGGACAGTGCCCAGGGCCAGAGTTCAGCTCCCACGACCGAAAAAAAAAAAATTCACACAGCTAACATTTTATTGTATGTGTGTCTTTATGTGCACATTTTTGAGTTGAAATGTCAACACTTATCTACCTTTGTCCAACACAAGAACCACAGGCAGGACACTAAAAAGGACTGTGTAGTATCTAATATAACAAAGGAATAACTGTAAATACAGTATCTTATGAGCCTTAAATCTAGCCAATTATCTTACCAATAATGTGCTCTGAGACCTGAAAAGAAAGCAAATTGACCAAATACTACATAAAGGTTTTACATGATAAACCACAAAAAGCAAGGAGGGCATGTCAACGACAATAACTTATTATTCAGAGTTCATATAGTGTGGGATATAAGCTTTTGTTTACCTTTCTGATCAATGTTTTTATAAAGTGCTCAACAATTGTAGTAGTTACCTAAGGAACAGATGTTCTATGTACTCTTCAGAACTAAGTTTCCAAGCAGTAGAGGGGATTAGCCCTCTTAAAGGGTTTCCCCACCCATTCTAGCTGATGTTTACCAAGCACATCTATAATTCTAGCACAAGTGAAACTGGAAGTCTCGTTTACTTCCTTTGCCTCCATTTCTGTTCTGTTCTCCAGGGACAAGCTTTCTGAGTCAAAGGGAGCAGGACTTCCACAGAGCACACTTCATGTGAGTATCGTTTACTCCTAAATTTTTGATGCTAAGTTCTTCAGTTTGTCCTGGTTTAAATTTGGGATAGGGGCATAGATTGTGTCCAAAAATGGCTGAAAGCAAATGTGCAATTCACTCATCAAAGAAACATTCATAGTCACCCCATATGTTCTTATTTAATTATCTTGAGAAACATGTTTTTAATTCTTTTTGTGACAAATGCTAAATCAACCAGACAATCACAACAGCTAAAGAATAGGGTACAGGTGCGATCCCTGAACCCCACAATAACATGCAAGGGAAGTGGGGGTGGCCTTAGATTGTAACATGTTTGCCACAGTAAAAATAGAACACTACACAGAGCCCTTATAATTTTTTAAAAAATCTATTTCTTATAAGCATTCTTAGGAAAGCAGATCATAGAGGCAAAATTGTTTCATAAAAGAGCCAAAGAGAGGATTCATGCATTCTGCTGAATGTAATTATTTCTATGTCCTTCCTTCCTAGCTATGTCCCAGTTTTAAATTTTTATACAATTCCAAAGATGTGTGTTTAATTAAAAGGGAAAGAATAAATCCTTTTAAAATGATACTAGCATCCTACTTACACTAAATAAGAAGGAAAGGATAATGAAGTTCTTTGTGTAATGTTTTATTAATGAACTTAATTAGTCTTAGACAAGAGATAAAGAAGGGCCTGTTTTAATTTAATAGAAAATAAGCTTAGTGTGAGTAGTTTCCCCCAACAATGGTCCATTTGAGGGACCTTATGAGTTTTAATAAAGCCAAAGGGGTTGAAATAAAATACAACTTAGCTAACTGTGTTTAGTTTCCCCACCCCCCACCAGGGAACCACAATAAACCATTAATGTGGCTTCATGTGGGGTCATTTTCTTTATTGACACTGGCTTCCTCTTTCCTCCTACTAATTCCTTTTCCTTTAGCAATGTTCTGTATTAGAAAAAAAAATGTTAAGGAATCTAATTGTCTTAATATGCTTATTTCTTCAGTATTTTTGTGGAAATGAAACCAGACAGCTTAGCTAGATAGAATTCAAAAATCTGAGGAGAAACAAAAAAGGGATATTTTTCTGGATTCACATATAATAAAAACATCCATTTTGTAGAGAAATTAATTAATATATTAATTACAATCCCAAGGAGTCTTATAATGGTCGAGATTCAATAATCTCTAAAACACAGTAAGTTGTCTCAGAATGAAAGAGTATCTATTCCTCCCAGTTCACAGGGTCACCAAGCCCAATCAAATGATTTACCATGACTTAACAGACTAAATGTAAGACAATAAACATAGTCTGAGTCCTCTTAGCCTACCAATAATCAAATTTTTATCTAATTATCTGAAGAGCATCAAAGAACAAACCATTTCAGGAAAACCAATACCGGTACAAGAACTAATGCTAGTTAAAAATATTTCAGGGAAGGTGGCTCAGTGGTAGAGTGCTTGCCTCACATGCATGAGGCCCTGGGTTCGATTCCTCAGCACCACATAAGCAGAAAAAGCCAGAAGTGGAGCTGTGGCTCCAGTGGTAGAGTGCTAGCTTTGAGCTGAAGAGCTGAGGGACAGCACCCAGGCCCAGAGTTCAGGCCCCATGACCGGCAAAAAAAAAAAAAAAAGAATAAAAATATTTCAGGCCAGCAAACTGCTAAAAATGCAATGTACACAGGATTTCTTAACATTTTGCTTATTTATCACAACTTTTCCCCTATGTTATCATTACTTATACACAAGTATAGTAATACAAGTATTTAGTGTATACTTGTACTAAGTCACTTTGTAATATGTATTCAGCATTTAAAAATATTTCAGCTGGACATTTGGGCTCACATCTCTAATTCTAGCCAATTGGGAGGGAGGGAGAGAAAGAGATGAGTTGGAGGTCTGAGGCTGGCGTAAGACAAAAGCACAGGACCCTTCCTAAAAAACCATACTAGAACAAAAAGGATTAGAGCATATTTCAAGAGGTAGAGTATTTGTTTAGTATGTGGGAAGTCCTGCGTTCAATTCATACCAAAAAAAAAAATTACACATTATGTGGAGTAGAAAAGAGAGATGATAGGAAGTTTACTCTTGAGCTCTTGAGGTATTTCCAAGACACTGAAGATTCAGAACAAACTAACCAAGGCTAGTAATCCAATATAAAAGACCTGACGTTGATTTACCTCAGTGGCAGATAATCGCTTATCTCCATTATCGCTTCCCACTCCGGAATCTGAATCCTTCTTGCTGAAATAGATGTCATGAGTATTGAATTCATTCGAAATAAATTAAAACTACAAAGTCCAAACCAAGATCTAGCAATCAATATTTTTAAAATGACTTTTCTGCATACAATTTTTATTATTACAAATTGGCGGTTGGGTGCCAATGGCTCATTCATGTAATCCTAGGCTTCTCAGGAGACTGAGGATCACAGTTTGAAGTCAGCCTGAGCAGGCAAGTCCATGAGTTCTTATCTCCAATTAAATACCAAAAACCTAGAAGTAGAACTAAGACTCCAGTAGTAGAGTGCTAACCTTAAGTAAAAAAGCTAAAGAACAGAGCCTGGGCCCTGAGTTCAAGCCCAGCTCTGGCACACACACAAAAATGCTCTCTGTGCATACTGGAAAGTAATAGCTATTAAATTTCAAATGTGCCAGGCATCGGTGGCTCACACCTGTAATCCTAGCAACTCAGGAAGCTGAGATCTGAGGATAGTGGTTCAAAGCCAGCCCAGGCAGGAAACTCTGTGAGACTCTGATCTCCAATAAGCCACTCAGAAAATCAGAAGTGGTGCTGTGGCTCAAGTGGTAGAGCGCTTGCCTTGAGCTGAAGAGCTGAGGGACAGCTCCCAGGCCCAGAGTTCAGGCCCCACAACCAACATCCCCCCCCCCCCCCACCCCGCCAAAAAAAAATTCAAACATAGTATAGTTATTCAAATTAATAAAAGCAATTACTAATTTAAAATTTAATAATGGTTCAACTGTTTGATGTAGCTGTTCTCATTGACAAGTGAAAAAATAGCAATTTTTTAAAATAATTATCCAGAAACACATAGGAAGGACTGTTGACTGATCAGGAGAGGGCAGATGAGATTTGCAAGATGTAAAGCTTTCTCACCAGCATCCATTCTTATTTATTCCAGCAGTCTCTTAACCTTGAGGTAGATTAAGTGGAGCAAAGTTTATTGTTGTTGTTTTGGAGGTTTTTTGTTTTGTTTTATTTTGAAGCAAAGTTTTAAAGCTAAGTTACCTGAGCAGATTGGCTCTGACCACACTGTGACCAGGGCTTTGACTACAGGAAGATGTCCACTCACCTGTCTTCTATGTGCTGGTGCGAATGTGGTCTCTCCATAGCATGGAGATAAAGCGAGTCCGTTGTCTTTATCTGGCATGCTTGTATGCTCAGATACTTAAATATGTGTACTTTGCCCTTTGTGCAAATCTACGGAGAAGTCAATAATATATATATTCATTTTTCAATGACAAAAATGTTAAGTTCAAGATACCTGATGAGCTGTTATAATTTGCATGATTTCATGTTAAGTAACACCCTAACAGCACACATTGCACTTGACCTCTCCAGAATATATCGAAATTGTGAGGACTGTTTCCACCAAATTCTACTTTGAATAGAAAATTATATTCAAGTAATTAAACAGCAAAATTGTAACAGAAACCTATTTAAGTATAAATAGCTAATAAGTGCAAGAGTTAAATAACTGGACTGTAACATCCCACTAGCAAATGGTGATCCAAGCACAATTATTTTCAAGCTCATAAGAGAGCAATGGAAAGGTTAAAAATTAATTTAGAGCAAGGTGCTAGTGGCTCAATGACTGAAATCCTTAGCTACTCAGGAGGCTAACTAAGATCTGAAGGATCTTAGTTCTAAGCTAATTTAGGCAGAGAAGTCTGCACAATTCCATCTCCAAAATAATCAAAGCCTTGATTTCAAACACTAGTACTAGCAAAAGCATAGGAAAAAAAAGAGAGGAAGAGAAAAGAAAGAAGAGGAGAGAGAGGAGAACTGAGGGAGGGAAGGAGAGAGGGAGAGAGGGAGGGAGAAAAGGAGAGAGAGAAAGGAGGAAAGGGAAGGAAGGGAAGGGAAGGAGAGGTAAGGGAAGGGAAGGAGGAGGGGAGGGGAGGGAAGGGAAGGATTTTTCAACATTAAGAATAGAATAATTTTGCTTGTAAGAAAATGGATGGCACAAATGATTATCAAATTAAGCAAAATAAGCCAGACTTAGGAGGATAAATATTGTACACTGTCCCTCCGCTGAAGAATTTAAATGACATAGGAAGGACCATTGTAGGGTAAACTGCAGAAAGGAAGGGGGCAGGGAGAATGACAGAGGAAAGTGGGTGGGACAGAAGTACACTATATGAACGCATGTAACTATTACAATGAAACCTTGTACTTACAGAATTAGCAGACACTAATACACAAATAAAAAGATAAACAACCACCACCACACAACCCCAGCTCGGTGGAGCTGCTTCCTTGTCTGCCATTGTGAGCAGCTCCTTGGGACAGTGGCTCTGATGCGCCCCCTACCTGTGCTGGAGGAGACTGCAAGGGGTTGTTCTCTAGCAGTAGCACTTGAAGCTGCTTCATCTCTCTGAAACAGATGGGAATCACCAGCACTTTGTTGCAGGAGAAGTCAAACTTTACCAAGGGAAGGTCTACTAGTTCTAAAAGATAAACAAAGAAAGGAAGAAATCTCAGCAAGCAAGACAATCAAATGGCTGAATATTCCAAAACTGACTTTCTGCTCACAGAGGAAAATCATTTAGCATTATCAAAAGTGATAGATGGTATGAGTAATATTTCACTGAACAGGGAAAGCTTTCACTGTGAGCTCAGTAATTGGGTTCTAGTTGTGAAAAGGGCTGGCAACAATTGGCATTTACAGTATCCACTCTTTAAAACACCATTTTTGTTTTTTTTTTAAAGTAAGTATCATAAGCAGGTCATGGAGAAAATGTTTTGTTTTTCCACTTCCAGCTATTTGTATGGAGTACTTGCTAGCACATGAGTAGCAGGCTAATTATAGAATAAATTTATCTATTCAATGTATCTTGGTATGCACAGTCTTAGAAACAGTTACGGTAAAGATGTACAAGATCTTTTTTAAATACATGTTATCTAATTTAGGATTTTCCAATAGGCCCTATAATTCTGATTTCATGAGGCTTTATTGCTTTTAAAGTCTTACTTAGCTTTAACAAGATGAAGCATTATATTTAGCTTAAAATCTCCACCCAGTGGCACAGAAAACACTCAGTAATTTCAAGCATTTAAACCGACAGTTGGCAGCTGCTAGAAACAAAGTCAAATATATTCCATAGAGCAAAGAGAGGCTGAGCCATGCCACAATCTACAGTGACGCTGGCAGATCCCTGCAATCTCTGGAGGCTACAAAGTCGTCACTTCAAAACAGGGCCCCATACTGTTGTTACAGGAGCTCTTAGGGCTAAACTATGGCACTTTCAAATACTCCAGAAAGGAAGGAACCTGAGTAAAAATGCACATTGGGTCTCCGCTCTCCCTTATACATGCCTGATGGCTTTCATTTTATTTTGCTATACCTCAAATTCCACCAGCCAAAAAAAAAAAAAAAATCTTCCTAGTAATCAATTCGGCTGCCTCTCAGCATTCACAGCACCCTGGGAGTGTGCAGGACTTCCCCTGTTTCATACCTTAGTTTTTAACAGATCAAGGAGCCTGCAATTTTAGAAGGAGGCTGAAGAACGCCCCACTTCCAAGCCTGAAACGTCAGTTACCTGACAGGTGGGCTCTGGAGGAAAATCTCAAGATGGTTATTTCTAAAAAAAAGCACAGGTTCCTGGTCTAAGCCAAGGAATGCAAATTTTCAAATTGTCCTAAGTAGATAAAAGCCAGCTGTCCTCCTCCCTGGAGAAACAGGGATAGGCCTCAGGCCACACTCTTCATGGTGGGACGTGTGAGGGCAAAACGAATGAGAAAGGAAAGTCCTTTTTTGCTGTCATAGTTTCTAGAAAAGCTAAGAAGCAGGAGTCTGAAATAAGTGGGATGCCATCCTGCTGTAAGCCCTAGTGCTAGGGCTAGGTTGGCAAATCAGAGCCCAATTTCAAAAGCCTCTCCACTGTCTGCAATGCTTCATCACTTAAATACAGACTCATCCAGGAGTATAAAGAGTAGATTCATGGTAATACATATGGGGAGTTAACTCACAGGCCAAAAGAAAAGAGGAGGGGGAATCATTTTCTAACGACTATTTCTTTTTGGCTCCAATTCTGGAGCCACAAGTTTAGGAAAATGAGAATTATGCAAATTCACGGTAATCAAATAGAGGAGAAAATGATCATTTCTCTAAGGCCCAGAAGAGATCAAAAGAAATAGCAGGAAAGTGAGGAAGAAAGAGATGGCAAAGAAGAAAGAGGAGGAGGAGAGAAAGAGAAGCAGCAAGGTAAGTTAGGAGGAGGAAGAGAAGCTTAAAAAAAAGCAGGAAGAAAAAGAGGAAGAATAGGAGCAAAGAAGGGAGAGGGAGAAAGAAGGAAGTAGAGAACGAAGAAGAACAGAAAGAATGGGGAGGGGAAGAGACAGGAGGAAGGGGGAGGAGAGGGAAGAGGGGCAGAGGAAGGGGAGAAGGGGGAAGGAGGGGGAGGAGGGGCAGAGGAGGGGGAGGAGGGGCAGAGGAGGGGGAGAAGGGGGAGGAGGGGGGAGGGGGAGGGAAGGAAGGGGGAAGGAGGGGGAGGAGGATAACCTTACTTTTCTTTCTACTCAATGAATTTCTACCTGAGTCCTCTATTCATTCTGGTCTTATCAACACCAAAATATGATCCCCATATTGTAGTAGTTGTCAACAGACACCAAAGATGATCTAGGAAATCAGGCCACAAATTTCCCTTTTTGCCCCCCGCCTCAAGCTGGAAGCCTATGACCAGGGTACTTAAGGGATTAGATGTGCAGTGCCTGAGAACTCTTTAGTCAATAGAACTTTCAAGAATGAAGCCAAAAGGACCCTGATATTCAGAAACCATTTTTTTTACAAAAGCTTTTCCAAGAAAACTCAAATTTGAGGTCTGAGAATATTTTAAAATATCAAAACTACAAAAAATACAGTTATGGAGAACAGAGCAATTTGTAACTGATCTGTTTGAGAAAGGTATGCTTTTAAGGTAAGAGACAAAACAAAAATCCCTAGATTGTGCAGGTGAGTATATTTTCCACACATTTCCAAACAGTGACTATAAAATGATGTCCCTGATTTTTCCTTTAGGGAATAGGAGTTCAATTATTGTGACACTTTCACAGTGATTATTATAACAACAGGACTTGAATTTAAACTCTCCTTTAATGCTTGAAAGGTCTCTGGGGTATAAGTTTATCCTTTGTGTTTGCTTTTAGCTAAGATAAACAGTTTCAAATGAAAAATATTTATTCACATGGACAAAATGAAAAGTCAATATGCTTAGATTAGTCTATCTCAAGTAATAAAGCAATAAAGTCCTATGTGGAGATAGTTTCTAAGGCAGTTTCTTCAGAATTCAAGTCAGCATGAGAAGGATGAACTTTGTGGGTAAATGCTCAGCCTTCCCATTCATCATAGAAGTTGCATTTTACAAAGTTCTCTCCACAGTTCTATTAGCATCGCTTCCTTACCTTGAGTTATGGACGATTTTAAGCCAAAGGTCAAGCTGTGACTCATGTTTATAATCCTAGCTACTCTGGAGGCTGAGATCTAAGATCTGCCAGGTCCAAACCCAGACCAGGCAGGAAAGTCCATAAGACTCTTATCTCCACCAAACTACTCAAAAAAGCTGGAAGTGGTGCTGTGGTTCACTCAAGTCGTAGAGTGCTAACCTTGAAAAGGAAGTCAGAGACAGAGCCTAGGCCCAGAGTTCAAGCCCTAGGGCCACCCCCACACCCCCCCCCCAAAAAGAAGGCCAAAGATCAAGATGCAGAAGCAGACAATAAAAACAGAACAATTCAGCCGGGTGCTGATGGCTCATGCCATAATTAACTAGCTACTCAGGAGGCTGAGATCTGAGAATCATGGCTCAAAGCAGGAAAAGTCCATGAAACTCTTATCTCCAATTAAAATTAACCATCAGAAAACCAGAAGCAGAGTTGTAGATCAAAGTGATAGCACTTGCTATGAACAGAAAAGAGCACACAGTTAGCACCCAGGTCCTCAGTTCAATCCCCACAACAGAAAAAAAAAAAAAAGAAAAAGAAAGAAAGAAAGAAAGAAAGAAAGAAAGAAAGAAAGAAAGAAAGAAAGAAAGAAAGAAAGAAAGAAAGAAAGAAGGAAGGAAAGAAAGAAAAAAAGAAAGAAGGAAAGAAAGAAAGAAAGAAAGAAAGAAAGAAAGAAAGAAAGAAAGAAAGAAAGAAAGAAAGAAAGAAAGAAAGAAAGAAAAGAAAAATCAGAAAATCAGGCAGGCCTCAATGTGCAGTAGCAATGTCACCTTAACCCAGTACTGACCACTTCAAAACACATGCTTTGCCTTTTACAAGTATGTGTTTGAAATCTGGCATGTCTAGAAGTCCATAAACACAAACAATGAGGATCAAGATGATTTTTGAAAAAGCAGTATGTTGAGAGACTTTAATAGGGTTCTGCTGCTGATCAACTCATTCCTGACCCATACCCGAGCCCAAATACCAACTTCAGACCCACTACCTCTGACAGGGTTGTTCTCCAACTCTAAATGGGACAAATTTTCTAAACAGATGTATCTTTTGATGAGAAGACATACTGCACAGAGCTGACAGCCAGGGTCTGTCCAAGTGTGTCACTGGAACTGTTAGTTTCTTTCATTCAGAACATCACATACTGATACAAAAAGAATTTTTGTTGTCAGTGCTATGGGCTGGCTGTTTTCCCTTCACCCAGATTTAAATGTGGACATCCTGACCCAAAGATATCAGAATGTGGCTGTATCTGGAGATAGGCCTAAGAAGTAATTAAATTGAAATGAGATCATTAGGGTGGGCTCTGATCCAATCCTTGGTGTCAGAAGGGATTAGGACACAGGAGAGCACAGAAGTGGGTGGGGAGAAGCCAAGGAGAAAAGCCAAGGAAGGAACAACCCAGTCAACAACCACAATATACACACACAACCACATAACCACACAACCACACAACCACACAACCACATACACATTCTCTCTCTCTCTCTCTCTCTCTCTCTCTCTCTCTCTCTCTCTCTCTCTCTCCCTCTCTCTCTGCAACAAAAGTCTCTTGTTTCTTCAACATCCCCTTCTTTCTCACCTGGTGGTAATACTTTAAGGTAATTTCTTCGGACATTCAGCTCCCGGAGAGATTTCAGTTGACCTATCTGCTGAGGCAACGCTGTGATCTCGTTGCAACTAACATCCTGTAGCAAAGACAGAAACTATCAGTGTGCTGTTCTCTTTATGTGAGTTCTCCTCAAGGAACTTCAACATGTGGACAATTAACTATCACACACATCACACATTTTGTGTGCAGGGCTCAAACTCAAGTGTCTGTAGCTCTCACTTGGCTTTTTCACTCAAGGCTGGTGCTCCACCCCTCGGAGCATACCTTCACTTCTGGCTTTTTGATAGCCAATTGGAGCTAAGTTCTCTTGAACTACACTAATACAGCTGGCTTCAAATCATGATTCTAGGATCTCAGGCTTCTGAGTAGCTTCAGACGTGAGCCACCAGGTGGCTGGTTACATTACTCTTTTATACTGACTGGACTTCTGGGTCCCTAACCAGTAAGTCTCAGAAAAGGAGAAAAAGAAAGTTCAATCTACACATCTCCATTGAGGAAAGAAAAAAAAAAAAAAAACCAACATCAGTACTTTCACCACTATCATTTTTCCTGTGCTTGGATTTTATTTAATTCTCTCAAGAAACCCAGGAGGCAGCATTACTAGCTTACTATTTACAGATGAGAAAAATGAGGCTCAGCGGTACTAGTTTAATATTTACAGATGAGAAAAATGAGGCTCAGTGGCCCAAGGCCACTAAGTGAGGAATCAGCAGCCACTATACTCATTACCTTACTCATGTAACTGTAACCCCTCTGTACAGCATCTTTACAATAAAATATTTTTTAAAAATTTGGAAGGGAGGGTACAACATATCCTAGTTTTTAGGAGTAGTTATGCATTGTTTGGACGCACTATTTTATTTTTTTTAAGTTTTTATTGTAAAGGTGATGGCAAGAGGGGTTAGAGTTACACAAATCAGGTAATAAGTACATTTCTTTTTGAACAGTATCACCCCCCTCCCTCATTTTCTCCCAGTTTTTTCACTATGTATTTTAAATGAAGCTCTTACAACATGGCTGGAAATCTTGTATCTGATTACCTTCCCTTCCACTGTGGAAGCAAGGTAAGGTCTTGAAGAGACTGTACACTTTGCTTTAAAAGGATAATACCCTATAAATCCTTGATTGGAACCAGCTCCTGACATAGGAAATAAAGTCCTCGACATTTATAATCCTTATTATCTCCTTAATCCCACTCTTGCCCTTGGCACTGGTCCCTGCCTCCTCTTCTCCTTCGTCTAGCCCTGCATTATCTCTCAGTTGGAGACCGTATAGTCCCCTACAGGCTTCCATTCAGTCTCCCCATAAGTCCATCCTTCACAGAGCTGCCAGAGTGTGAATCTCATTGTGCTGTTCATCACCAGTAAGGTCCAACATCTAGATAAGGTCTGCTAATCTCTCCAGGACCATTTCCCTGGATGTCTTCCCCTTGCCACGTGACTGCTACTTATTCTCAGTATGGGCCATTTATTTGTTCAGGCTCCTTCCCTGCCTGGTGCCAGTCCCTGACACTATCTTGTGGCTCTACCTACTCATCTTTTATGACTGAATCCAAGTGTCCTCTTTGAAGCCTCTCACAAGGTTTCCCCATGTTTCAACACCTAAGGGATGGACCACTTTTCCCTCTGGGGTTCTAATCATCAGCTTTTACTGTAATTTTCTTAGTTACATGGTCATTTTCCCCTTTAATCCTCTGATAGAGCACTAGCCTTGAGCAAAAGAACTCAGGGACAGGGTCCAGGCCCAGAGTCCAAGCTTCAAGACCAAAAAAACGAAAACCCAAACAAACAAAAAACTCTAGTAGCACTTCTTACAGGGTCAAAAATGTTTAGGGAGCCGGGCGCTGGTGGCTCACGCCTGTAATCCTAGCTACTCAGGAGGCTGAGATCTGAGGATCACGGTTCAAAGCCAGCCCGGGCAGGAAAGACCGTGAGACTCCTATCTCCAATAAAACCACCAGAAAACCGGAAGTGGCGCTGTAGCTCAAGTGGTAGAGCGCTCACCTTGAGCAGAAGAGCTGAGGGACAGCGCCCAGGCCCAGAGTTCAAGCCCCACGACCGACAAAAAAAAAAAAAAAAAAATGTTTAGGGAAATCAATACAGAATTAGTACGTGGCCTGTGATCACTCAAGGAAGCTAACCCACCAATCCATCCAGTGGAAGTTATGTCTTTGTCTTTACTAAGTCACATAAGCCAGGGGTCCTTGGGAAGCAGAGATCAAGGGAACTGAAGATCAAGGCGATCAAGGCTGACAGCTAACCTGGGCAAAATGTTAGTGAGACTCTATTTCTACCAACAAACAAACTGGACGTGGTGGTAATACATACACTCATACACAGAAGGCTGTAGGTAGCATGATCACTGGCCCAAAGTAATAGAAAAACCAAGATACTCTATCTGAAAAACAAACTAAAAATAAAAGGACTAGGAATATGGCTTTAAAGTGGTAGAACATTTGCCTAACAAGTTAGAGGCCTTGAGTTCAGTCCTTAGTACCACAAATAAGGAATAGGGAGAGAGAAACAAAAGATAACCTACATATTTAGGTAGTATGCTCACAGGATGAAATCTGAGATGACACTCAGCTTTCTGCCATTTTTTAACATGAACTACATGCATCTTTCTCTTCTTGGCCATCCCTAGTTATCCATGAAATCAAGGCACATTGCTTCCCTAAATCTAAGTTCAATTTCTTCTAACAGATATGTCTAATGCAATGGCCTATTCAAAGCAAATCAATTCTACAAGCTATATTGAAATACTGGTAGAGAAAGTAGTCAACATACTTGCAACCAATCTCACATAATGATAAAAACAAAACTTTCCATCTATAGAACAATGTGCAGACAAACAGAATCAGAGTCCAACTGTCCATTCATATTTGGAAGGGTATTTGATGAGGGTCAGGTTATGTTAATAGTTCCCTGCACTGTACCACTTATTCCCTGGTCTCATCAAGTGTTAGAGGTAGCTGCTCAGGCCATCTGAGACTCTTCACCTCTCTTCAGTCAGCATGGCAGACAACAGCGCAAAACTCCAATCCCCCCAAGTCACTGAGCCTTGCCAACTCTTAAAAGAGGTTATGAATTTCATCACAAAGATAAAACCCATGGGTAATTATTCTTAATTAGCTGAAGGGAGAGGAAGAAATTAGAGATAATAGTCTATGTGTTTGGGGATATTTTGGTTTTACAAATGGATGCCTATTTTTTCTGGAGTGACCTCATTCTCTAGAACATAACTGTCCAAATTTAGCCTTAGGTATAGATTTGTTTTAGCCACTGAGAGATAATATTTAGGAAAACAAAGTTTAAAATAAAAAGCACTAGTATCTTCCATTTCTGTAATTAGTGAGAATTTATCAGGCTGTAAATTCTCAATGCAATTATTTATTAGACAGCTGAATTAGCTCCTTCTACTCTCAGTCCTAAGCCATTTTTTAGAAAATAATTATTCCAAACTTCAGTGAAATCATATCACCAAAGATTTAATGTTACACTATTACAAAACAAAAAAACATCTATTAGGAATATCCACTGGTTTGTTATTGGTTGATACAGATGTGAATCTAAGTATGACAATATACTCAAGCTTAAGTTTTTATGGACCAGCTAGTCCAACTCTGGCATTAAGAGAAAAAACAAAATAGGAATTATAATTGTGACTTAAACTCTACTTATATTAGTTTAATCATTTTAATTTTTTCAATCAAGCAACTAAAAGAAAAACCTGGGAAAATAAATATCTCTCCTCATAATAATAAAAGAAAATTTTCGGCCCGGCGCTGGTGGCTCAAGCCTGTAATCCTAACTACTCAGGAGACTGAGATCTGAGGATCTCGGTTCAAAGCCAGCCCGGGCAGGAAAGACCGTGAGACTCCTATCTCCAATAAACCACAAGAAAACCAGAAGTGACCCTGTAGCTCAAGTGGTAGAGCACTCGCTGGCCTTGAGCTGAAGAGCTGAGTGACAGCGCCCAGGCCCAGAGTTCAAGACCCACGACCAACCAAAAAAAAAAAAAGAAAGAAAGAAATTTTTTTAAGTGCTACATGTATACTGAAGATTAGTATGCTTTTGTTACTAAGTGATAGCTGCTGAAGTACCTTCAGAATGCAAACAAAGATTCAAACTATCAGAACAGAATTCAGGGATTACTAAACTAGGTAATGCTGATTTTCTAAAAAAAAAGCTAGAAATATTTTAAGAACTAATGTCCAACATAACACTATGTCCAACTGGTTAAAGGAGAGGCCCAATGAGACCAGGCCACTGTGGAACTGTAGGTGGTCTGCTGTGACAATAGGATTTTCACAATCTTGGTGTAGTGATACTCTGAGCTTGTGTTGACTTCACTGATGGAAATGCACATACTCTGACAGGAAACACAAACTGCTAAACACTTTCCTCCCATCATGTAACCTCACCTTTCGGAGAAATGCCTTTTGCATAACTCACTGTGCAACCTGAGGTTAGTATCTTAACCTCCCGGTGCCTACATTAAAAAAATAAAAATAAAAAGGGAGCATTAAGCAATTCTAATTTGCTTCCAACATTAGGAAAATCTATTTACACCACCAGAAATAAGAAAAAGACTTGTTGATAGTAATGTCAACTTAGATTTCTTAGCCAAAAAATAAAATAAAATAAAATAACTCTGTGCCTATGGTCAGAACACAAAACAAGCAAAAACAGTGAACTTGGTAAGCTCATCTAAACTTGAACTCTTTTCAAGCAATCTCTGGTGTGATAAACTGTCTTTTCTTCTCAACGTAAACACTTGCTCCACCCTCTGGCTCTTCCTAAAGGCAGAAATGGAAGCCACAGAGGGACCTTGAGCAAACCCTGGGTTTCCAATTGTCACAAAAAAAAACAAAAAAAAAAACAAAAAAAAAAAAAAACAGAGAGGTTAGGGGCATCACTGGAAACCACAAACGGACAAAGAATTACTTACAGCAGACATGTACAGGGAAGACCCCACTGTAGGTACCTCTGAGACTGGAATGCAATCCATAACAGTAATAAGGGGGTTTTCCTGAGGCAGCTCAATCCACCATATGTCAACAGTTAGTGCTTGCATTAACTCCCCACACACCAAATATTTCAGGAAATGCATCTTCTCATCAGTTTTGACTTGAGGCAGGCCAGGTGGCATGCTGCTTAGAGAGGTGGGATTACACTGGTGCTCTTGGAACTGGGAGACACTGTGTGAGTTGGGCTAAGCGGGGAGGGGAGGGCCAAGAACTGAGAAAAAGTGAACAGAAGTCAGACCGCAGATGCGGCCTGCCACCAGGCTCACAGAAGCAGTGAAGACACTCCTAGATCTTTGGCCAGTACCCCATACCAGGTTCTGCATGTTCACTTAGTGAGTTTGTCTTTCCAGCTCTGGTTTACCTATAATGTGACATTTATACAGCACCTCTTACCAAACAGACCTTATAGTTCAATATAATCTCACAGTAAAAGAACTATGTTTTCCAGAAAGTTCAGAGGACTTTATAGAGTAAAGGGAGGTTTAGTTGGCACAAGATAAGGTCCAAGACCCCTTCCTGACCTGCATCCACAGTAAGAAAACTTGTGGACACACATGCCCACTTGTATAAAACCTGTGTTTATTCAGGTTCAGCAGTGCATGCATGGCCTGCCACAACCTTAGTGGGAAAAGCTGCAAGGTGAACCAAGAAACTCCAGAGGAAAATGGTGGGCTGTGTCCCTAAAGTGCTTACAGCCTGAACTCTAATCACACAAACCTGATCTGGACTCCAGCTCTATCATGTAGGCTCCACAGCTAATTGGATAAGATGACAAGAAACAATACAAGCCATGTTCTACCAGTCTGCTTGGTGCACATGGATGCTCAGTAAATGTTAACCAATTCTCCCTTTCCCTTCCAGAAAACGCAAGCTGACGGACAAGACAGTCTATCAAACAACATGCACACCACCACAGGTGTGAGGCAGAAGGAGTTATAGGTGTCAATTAGAGTGGGACATGAAGTTAGAAAGTTCTAGATTATTCCCATTAGAAATAACCCAGACTGAAGACGGGTGGCTAACATCTGTAATCCTAGCTTATACAGAAGACTGAAATGTGATTATCTCAGTTCAGAGCCAGGCTAGACAGAAAAGCCCATTAAAACTCTTATTCCCAATTAGCAGCAAAAAACTGGTAGTAGAGGTGTGGCTCAAGTGGTAGGGTGCCAACTTTGAGTAAAAAGTCCAGCAAGAGTGCAGGCCCAGAGTTCAAGCAAAAATTTAAAAATAAAAATCACCTGAGAACCAGGTCCAGAGAACTAAGGTTCCGTAAATTCCCCTACTCCTACAGCAAGTTAGAAACATAACCCAACCACTCATGTTGATTCATAAAAATGACATCCCATAGGTGATGATCAGCAGCTTCTGGGTGACATTTCCATTCTCCCTGCATGTTCTCAAATGGCTGGCCATGTCAATGGTAGAACTGGGACCAGTTTCTGTCTTAAGGATCTTGGGTAACTGTGACATAGCTTAAAAGATAAAACAATGTTTTGCAATTCCACTCCCTTTCAAAGACAAGGATGATCCCTGCTTCCTGATGATGTTCTGGCTTAATTTTTCAAGTGGATAGTAATTCTGCAGATGTCCATCCACACTGGGAAGAAGAGAGTTCCTTATGACACCATTTGGGATACATGAAGCCTGATGTGAAAAAGTGATATTCTTTCCAAAACAGTAAACAATGTTTACAGCCTAGCAGGCTAAGCAATTTTTGTCAGGATGGAAGCCATAAGAGACTGCAGGATTCTGAATGCTTGGGAAGCTTCCAATCTTTTCTTTTTTTATATATTGGTACCATGCAACTACAAAGCCAAACACTCCCACTGCCACTCCAGAATTAAACTCTCCAGAGAATTTTCTTTTTCCAACCGATAGCTAAAAGTAATCTGACATGGTTACCTATAATCATACTACTATTGTAAGCAAAATGTCATCAAAGATAAACAAGAGTTGATGGAAAATAATCTTTTTTTAGTTTATGACCTTAACCAAGGCCAGTCATATCACTTCCTGGTTGTTAAATAATGCCATGTTATGAAATATATGCGTTTTACAAGAGCGCACTTATTCAGACGGGCGGAAGGGAGCAGAGAAAATTCACAGGCTAAGGAACTAATCTGTCAGGAGTGTGACCAACAGCTCATGTGGATCCTGAATACCGGAAATCCAGATAGTCCCAAAAGAGGTGCACTGTCAATGTAAAAAAAAAACCAAAAAAACAAAAAACAACTGCTATATTTCAAAGACTTAACCTGAAAAAAAAGAATTCAAACTGTCCCTAAGGGGGGGGGGGGTGTGTGTGTGTGTGTGTGTGTGTGTGTGTGTGTGTGTGTGTGTGTGTGTGTGTGTGTGTGTGTGTGTGTGTGTGTGTGTGTGTGTGTGTGTGTGTGTGTGTGTGTGTGTGTGTGTGTGTGTGTGTGTGTGTGTGTGTGTGTGTGTGCGTGCGCGTACTCTGGCCCTGGGGCTTGAACTAAAGTCCTACTGCTCTCATTAGGTTTTTTTTTCCTTATAACTGGTGTTCTAGCTCTTAAACCACATTTCCATTTCTAGATTTGTGCTAGTTAACTGGAGGTAAGAGTTTCTCAGATTTGTTGCCTAGTTTGGCTTTGAACCTTCTTAGATCTCAGCCTCCTGAGTAGCTAGGATTATAAGCTCAGGCATCCTAGGACCGGAAACAATGTTGCCAAAAATCTTTACTTTCCTCTTACCTAATTCTTTTTTTTTTTTTGGTCAGTTGTGGTGCCTGAACTCGGCCTGGGCGCTGTCCCTCAGCTCTTCAGCTCAAGGCTAGCATTCTACCACTTGAGCCACTGTATCACTTCCGGCCTTTTCTGCATATGTGGTGCTGAGGAATCAAGCCCAGGGCCTCATGCATGCAGGGCAAGCATTCTACCACTGAGCCACCTTCCCAGCAGCTTTCTTCTTTCTATCCTCTAACTTAACTAGACATCTTTGTAAAATGTGGCCTGCCAACTTATTTAGAGATCTTTTCTCCAGTTGTAGCCATATTCTTCATGAACTTATAAGCAATCTGCAAAATTTATCACTGTATAATGTGATAACCCATAAACCTCAGGAACTGTAAATCCTGTAAACTTCAGGAACTGCAAACCTCAGGAAGCTTCAGGAACCTTATCACAGCCAAGCCACAGCTACTGGGTCATATCCCCTCCCCCCTCCAATGTCTTCTTCATATGCTGCCCTCAAACAACTTAGGCTCTGCTACCAAGTGAACATGATTTGGTCAAGTATTGGAAGCATACTAATCATTTGATGGTATTAAGAGGGAGTGGTGTCTTTAAAAGGAAGAGCCTAATGGAAGATGGTTAGATCACCGGGGGGTATGACTCTCAGAAGGGATTAACATAGTTCTCAAGGGACTTAAGAAATTTCCCATGAATATGGGTTGTTATGGTTGCCTCTTCCTTTTTGCTTTTTGGCTTCCTGACTTCCCATGTGATCTCTCCTTCTCACATTTGATCCGAGGAGGGTGCGATAGCTATGGTACGATGTATGATTCAGCCTTCTTCAGTGGGCCTCCCTCAAAGGCCTCACAAATAAAGCCACCTGATCATGGACTTTCTGCCTCCAAAACTAAAAGCTAAATAAACTTTCTTTTTCCTTTATCAAGTTCCCAGCCTCAGATAGTTTGTCATTGTAATGGGAAACAGACTAGTGCAAATTCCTCCTTCGATTATAGCCAAAAAGTCTTTCCGGTACTCTGGCAAGTTAAGATCAGTTCATGAACAAAAAGAGCATCTTAGAAATCAGCAACATACCAACTCCATTAACTGTTTGAGCTGACCTATCTCTTCTGGCAGTGATCCAAGCTTGTTGTTACTTGCGATTAAGACTTTCAGAGGCAGACCACACAGGCAGGCAGGCAGGGCAGACAGCTGATTTCGACTGCAAAGACAATACAATAAGAACACATATAAACAGAAAGGCCACTGCACACTGTATGCTAGAGAACTCTTAACACAAAAGGAAAACAAAGTGATCAGAGAAGATATTTACAAATACAAGCCCGATACATTTTATGTGTCTACAATAACACAAATTACAAGTGCATAAGAAAACAAAATTAAAAACAAAATAACAAGGCAGGGGACAAAAACAGGATAATGAACACCAAAAAAAGTTAGATAGCAGGAATAAAATCTAGTGTCCTATAGCAATCCTTTACAACTTATTAACTAAGTATTTCAAAGTAGCTCTTAAAGAGTTCAAAGGTTTCCAACACAAAAACATCATAAATATTGACAATGGGGGAGATACTAAGGACCCTTATTTGCTCATAACACTTTGCATACAAATGTCAAATTATTACCCTGCAGACCAAATCTCTGGACAATTACTATGTACCCGTTATAAACAAACAGATGGGCAGTTCTGACTGAAACAACTTTTCCCAGCACAAGGAAAAATATGAATCTCTCCGCAGAAGCTGAGCCCTTGGACCAGCCAGGAAAGCAGACAACATGCCTTCTCAACCAAGGGCAACGTAAAGCTGCTGTTGCTACAGTTTAAATCTTAATTATCCCTAAATATGTACGTCTTTTGGTCTTGGTCCTTAGCTGGTGCCACTAAGTGAGCGATGGCCAGTGAGACATTGGCCCCAGGGGCTGCAGCTGTGGCTCAAATGGTAGAGTGTCTGGCATGGCAAGTGAGAGGCCTTGAGTCGAAACCTTGGTACTGGAGAGAGGGTGGGGGATGGGAGAGCCTAGAGGAGAGTAGGAGAGGAAGGTGGCTAAGCAGATTAGCAGATGTGGAACTGGGAGAGTCATTTATCTCAGCACTGGATGTGATGAAAAGAAAGATCTGCTAATTCTGATGCGCAGGTATCTGAAATTACATAAACTTGCTGTCCCTGGACTCCTTCCAGCATCAGTACTAACTTCATAAAATAAAATGAAGGCATGTGAAATAATTCAGGCCCACTTTGATGGAAATAGATGGGTTGGTGTGTGTGTGTGTGTGTGTGTGTGTGTGTGTGTGTGTGTGTGTGTTGGTGTGTATGTGTGTGTGTGTGTGTGTGTGTGTCCCATTACTGGGACTTGAAATCAGGACTTTACACTCTTGTTTGGCATTTTTCACTCAAGGCTCTCTACCACGTGAACCTATGAACTCCCCTATGAACTTTTTGCTGGTTAGCTGGGGATAAAGAGTCTCCTCGACTTTTCTGCCTGGGCTGGCTTCAAACTACAATCCTCAGATCTCATCCAGAGTAGCTAGATTACCAGCATGAACTACCACGGACAGGTGCCTTGCTGGAAGGGCTGCTTTTTACATTACAAGCTGCTGACAACAGAGCTCACTTCCTTCTGTCCCAAACACTCCTTATTTACTCTGAGTTAATTATCTGTGGATGAAATCATTCTCCAATGCCAAGAATTTAGTCCTAGTGCAAACATAACATGGAGGCAGATCCCCCGTCTCTCCTACTTCATCCATCTGCCCTTCAACTTCTCCTCCACAGAGCTGGTCACAGGATGTTCTTCTGTTACTTGCAATTTCCCCAGCAGAAAAGGGAAACACACACGTATTATCTGCCTCCCAGCAGATAATTGACATAGGAGAGGAGAAACTGTTCCCTCCTATCCTGAACCATGTGACCACATCAGCTGCCTCAGCTTTCTGAAACCATTCATCTGGCAGCAATTCTCAAGTAAATAAGCACCTCAGGCTCGATTCACTCTCCTGACCCATGGGTTTCCTGACCCATGGGTCTCCTGCAGGCCTCTCTGCTATAAACAGACCCTTTCAAGAACAAAATACTTAAAAAATGAGGCCATCTCATGTCTGATGATAGTAGCCAACGGTTACCTTTAAATCTAGTCTGTGAGCTACATCTAAAGGCAAAATCTATTTGCTTTTACTCTTACTTACTCTTTACAGAAGAGTAAATTTGTAGGGAAGATGGGCTGCTCACTTAGAAGTATAAAGTACAGGTGTAGAGGTGGTGGCTTGAAATTTCTTGTACTTGCCAGGGAAGAGTCTGCCCATGTACTCCTGCCACCTTTCCTGCCCTGTGCAGGGAGAGAACAGGGGCCAGGAAGGAAGAGGAGAGGGAGGAAGAACCTGGTTTTCATCAAATGCACATCTATCATTTCCATCTTCCTTGACTGAATGAGTCCTTGCTGTCAGTTTCACCATCTCAAGACAAAATAAGAGCCCCCTCTAGCCTGAGGAGAGCCTTTGTTTCTTTGACTTAACCTTCATAGCTTTTTGCAAATACATATATATAGAGAGAGTTATATATATGTGTATATATATAGTTATATATATGTATATATAACTATCTATATGGTTTTATATATATATATATATATATAGTTTTTATACTAAACTTCTGAAAATTTAGTGTGCATATGTGTGTGTGTGTGTCCCCTTGGCTTCAATCACCATAATCTCTCACTTACTCCTAAACTAAGGGCTTTACAAGTCGTTTCTTACCCCTTCAATTTTAATGTATTTTAAATATTTTGACTAGGGAACTTTTCTTCTGAAATGCAATGTTAGTATATGAAATTGTTTATTATTGGTTTATGAAAAGGTTATTGTCTTTAAAATATGTAAAGGCAGAGACACATTATATTCTGTGTGTGATTTTATGAACTCCGCAAAACACATTCTTTCAATTCTAGAATATGTTCCTTCATTTTTAGTGTCAAAACTTACAGAAATTTTTTTTTTAATTGCTCAGAGATTCACTTATCCATTTGGCTGTTTGGGGCTGCAGACAGATCATTCATGCTGGAATCAGAAGACCTGGGTTCAAATCCAATCTCCGTAAAAATAAAATCAAGCCTATAACTTTAGTTAAACGTTTTGTTCAATATGAAGCGCAGGCAGCAAGACGTACCTACTATATGATTATGGGTATGACAGTTCTTAGCCAACACTGAATCCACACTTATGGATTAAGTTATCCAGGCCAAACCAGAAAGAGGACAAAAAAGAGCATGTGTGTGCTTAGCTTGATTTTATATATTAATTTTATTTATTGTCTTCCATAATTGCTAAAATGTCAACTATTCAAAATGTGGTTTTGTGTTTTACTTGCTGAAAACCTATAACAATTAAAAAATAAATATGATTCAAGTTAAGCTATACAACAAGCCAAGAACCTATTGCTAATCTAGAGAACCACAAATGGACATACATGTAATTGTGTGAATGTGGCTTTCTCTGCTGTCTTTCTTAATTCTGGAATCTTACCTTCTCCCTGGGAAAACATTCTGCAGGCAACACCTGGTAGTTTTCATATGCCATGAACAATATGCATAGTAGAACTATTTCCTTTTTCCTGATTATTCCATCCTGAAAAGTCTGCCATGGCTCACCCTTGCTTCTCATGAGAACTAAGTACTTCCCCTCATCCCCAGTCACCCTTCATCCACCATTAGTATGTATCTAGACAATTAACACAAATATTAAAAGACTTGCTTTGAGCTACCAGGTGATATTTTGGCTCCCTTTAATTGTATGCCATTAAGCTAAAAAAAAACTACCTTTATGCACATCCTATAACAAAATTGTATGCTATGCTGTCAAGCTAAAATCAAATAACTATCTTTATGCACATCTAAAAATATTCTACATACATTTTTTAAGACTGAGATTGTATGCATCTAAGTATTGTTGTCTTTTTAAACTAAGGGTTGGAACCTAGAGCCACTTGCATGCTAAGCATGTGCGGTAGCTATTCTCTCAGCCTCATGATGGAAATTTAATCAAGATACTATATATGTCATGAATCTGGTAGCACAAGTTTAAACCTAACATTGAAAGCAGTTACAATTAACTATCAGTTACAGTTAGCTATCATCTGAAAACTCATCATATCTAGATCCATAATTGTCATTTTAATTGAATTTCTAACTAGATTCTTGGAAAAAAGATATCAACCAGCTTTAATCTCCACACATGCAAAAGCAATATTTTTGTTTGTTTATTGTTTATGTATGTGTGCCTGTACTAAGGACTTGAACTCAGGACCAGGGTACTACCCCTTAGCTTTCTCACTCAAGGCTAGCTCTCTACCACTTGAGCCACAGCTCCACTTGCAGCTTTTTTTGGTGGTTAACTGGAGGATTGAAGTCTCGTGGATTTTCCTGCCCAGACTGGCTTGGAACCACAATCCTCAGATCTCATCCTCTTGAGTACCAAGGATTACACATAGCATACACACAGCCACTACACCTGGTTAAAAACCATGTTTTGAGCAAGTAAAGAACTTAGTTTGAAAGAACTGTTCGATGAACTACAATCGCTAAAGTGAGCTTCTAAAGCATCCTGGAACTTGGGACAGTTTTACATTCCCGTTGTGCATGCTCTCACTATATTTGGGTACTGCATCCAAACTAGCTTCCCACAGCAGCAGCCCATCTGTCTCCTGTTGAGTATAAATACTCTTATTTTCTCCACCCCCTACTTGTCAGCAAACACGGTTACCCACATCTGTAGTTAGGTTTCACAGAACAGTTATTGATAACTAGCTCCATCTCACTCTTTTCCTTTCTTCTAAGAATTCTTGAATTCCAAAGGCTCAGGGCTGATACTGGCCTATTACTTGAAATTTCTTCCATTTCAAAGGGGAACGGAATATATAAAACCGAGGGGGATGTTCAAAGAGAATGTAATATCCAGCACTAGCAAGAATGTTGATTGATCCAAGGATTTCAGGAGACTGAGCCAGACACCGTGCAAAAAGAACACTGCTGTTGGTACACAGGAGAGCCACAGCTATGAAAAGACAGAGAAGAGGGACTGGCATGGTCAGAGCTCTCCTACTTTGTGGAGCTCTGTTTCAGAAAATGGACGATGTTTCCTGTGACCAGGAAGTTACCCAGCTACATTCACTCTCCTCCCTGCCAGACCACTGGGACACAGAAAACACACAC